TCTCTGGTGAACCCTCTCATTTCCCCTGCACCCTGGCCTGTACCCCAGTTCTGTATGCATAAATAAATAAATCTTTAAAGAAAAAAAAAAACATAATGCAAAGGAAGCTTGGCCAGAACTCACTTCTCAGAGAGACTCTGGAAGAAACAGAAGTCAGTGAGTCAATCAACATTAAGGACAAAATCCTTAAAGGCAACAGATCCATCCACGAACCTAATCTACTGATATCCAAATCTCACTTTGCAAAAGTTTGGGGACATAAAAGTCCTAAATGTCTTGACGAAGGGCAGACAAGGGGGTGTGAAAACAAAATCATAACAGGCAAGCAGGGAAGGGTTTAAGCGAACAGCTTCTTGAAGTAAGAAGTCAATATTCAAGGTTAAAATCCTATAAAGTCAGAAATTCAAGAATCACAGTTACAAGATTCACAAAAGCCACATAATATTCTTCCTTTGTCAACTCAGAATTTAGAGATGTGGGCAGAGATTTAGGAATCCAAATTGGTTAAAATTCTTAACTAGCTTTGTCAGAAATCCAGGATCACTTTCTGATACTTTCTTATAAACCCGTGTTGCATGTTCTAAGGGTTTTTCTCAACCCATGCGCGTAAAAGCAAATTAATCAAGCTCTAGCGCATACAAAGACTTTTCATTGGTGAACAATTCCAAGGAATAAAGAAAAAAAAAAAAGAGAACGGAAAGGAAAGACTTCCAATCTGAACCAAAAATTGTCTGGTAGACAGGCTCTTAGCCAAACAGGTAGGACCCAAAAGCAGAGCTACCAGGAGAATGAATCCAATACATCTCCCAGCAGGAAATGCAAACAAGACGTTGTGCAGACCCAAAGGGTTGGGAGAGAAGGAGAGATCTGAAGTTCACAATGTACCACCCAAGCTGGATATACCACCCAGGTCAGGATGGTGGCTGCTTTGTCTGTCAAGAGAGCAGTATGGTGCTGTCTCCTGTCCAAGTGTAAAAACTAGAAAAAAGAGAGCAGAGACCAGAGGACGCATCTGTCCACATGGGTTCTGTCCTTTCACCTGATTCAACATGGCCACCTGGCAGCCCCTCCCCCTTCGGGAAGCCCCGTTCACAGCATGCCAGGAGTGTGGCAAGGTCCCTGCCATGTCAGTGGTGTGGAGATGATAGCAGGGAGGCTAGCTCTCACCCCCCCGAGGCCTCGGCAAGTGTCACGATGCAGTGATTCTACTCACACTTCCCCAGCGGTGTCCGCAGGTAAGAAGTCAGCCTACCAAGCTGTTGAAGCCTAAGTGTTGATTTCCCCATCCTCTGGGTTTTTCTCTGGCTGCAAGGTAATGAAAGATCGGGTGGGTGAACAAATGAAAAACTAAGTTATTGATGTACCTAGGGAAAACATACATGGTTGTAAATCCTAAAGTAAAAGGAGGTGGATCAGAGATATATATCCTATGTTTAAGGACCTGGGCATCAAGGAGAAAGAAGGCGAGACTTCACTTGATGGAGCAGGAGTGACCTCCTCTCTTGTATCAGAGTAAACAAGCCTAGTCCCTCAGACAGGAGGGACATGTTCGCGGATATACACTGACTTACCTCTGCTCCCCAAACTACATTCTTCTAGGCCATAAAACTGGGGGGGCCACCATTGCTTCTTTGATTAGGAAAAAAGGCAAATGACTGACAATGTCAAAACATTTCTCAGGCGTTAGGCCTTTGATGTTTTCAGCCTACACTGGTCTGCATTTTCAGAGAAATGATAACAGACTTCCTTAGCACCTCACTTCTCCATATGTAGGTGACGTTTATTGGAAGAGATCTACTCTGGGCATGTTGAGAAAAGCCTACCTGGCCTTTTTGTTGGGACTGATAACACAGTAACATAATTAAACCTGCACTACAAATTTATGAGTGCAGTTTTTATTTACCCCATTTTAGAGAATAAAAACTGGAATAGTAAGAATCTTGCACAAGAATTCTCAGCTTAGCTAGTCTAAAATGCCTGCAAGCAAAGCCAGCACAAATGGTGTCTACTTGATGTCCAGGTGGGCCCAAATGGACAGTGATGAGTACAGAGCCCTGCTACACAACACGTTTCCAATGGCAACACCAGTGGACAGATATGAAGGTCATTAGCATCTCTCCTAAGACAGACGGAGGTGGGGAGGAGAGCACAGAAGTGGGGTTTCCCCCAGTGTGCCTGCATTGTGTGACAGGGCGACACCGCCTTATCTCAAGCTTATGTGAGTGCCAGCCAACTTCAGCCCCCTGAACAAGTCCCTTACTTCCCCCAATAAACTTCCAACCAGACTGTTGCCCTCAAATCTCACTTATACTGAAATTCAAGAGGTATCCTGAATTTATATGTACAACCTATAAATAGCTGATACATATATATTGGACTTACAAAACTCCCACACAGAAATGGAAATTACATGAAAATACTGAAGATTTCTGGCCATGACATAGCACTTATGTTCACTGAATGGAATCTTGAGCATTGTGTTAATTTCTTCACTTTTACATATAGGAAAACTAAAACTCAAACAAGTAAAGTGACTTGCACAATATTATACAGTTAGTAAATAGCAAAGGGCCCTCTGTGGTGGCCCAATGGGTTAGAATACAGCACTGCAAGTGAGACTCCCAGCCACTTCAGTGAGAGTTTGATCCCTGGCTCCAGAGGTGACCCACATGGCATGGCAGACCTCTCCTGACCCACCTGCTGCTCCCCTCAGCTGCAGATGTATTTCACCCATCTGCCCATTCTGCTCCCCACTCTGTCGCTGGCGAATCCTCTCACCGTCCCTGCCCCTCTGGCCTGTACCCCAGCTCTGTATGAATAACTAAATAAATCTCTAAAATAAATAAATAATAAATAGCAGAGCTAAAATATCCCAAGTCTATCTAGCTTCTAAACCTTTCTTTCTTTGCTATCATATTTAAAAAAAAAAAAAAACCTGCTTTCTCTAGACTAGGAAAACATGTATTCATCCACAAAAAGTTTGTGAAATAGAATAAAGAAAAAAATTCATTAACACCACAGTCTAAAGAAAATTAATGCAAACATTCTAGCACTTTTTCTTTCTTTCTAGTAATAAACTACTCAGCAAGTAGAATCTGTAATTTTTTTCACTTGTTCTACTGAAGACATGAATTCATGCTATTAAAAATCATCTAAAAAATAAAAATTATCTAAAAATTATTTCTGTGTGAAGATAAGGACAGAACTAGAGGGGACGGCGCCGAGGGAAGGAGAAAGACAAATCCTGGCTGATGTCACACGTATGTGGGATCTGAAGAAACTAAACAAAACAGACAAAACTAAGCCAAAACAAACACTAGAAATATGACTGCAGATGAGGCTCCCTGAGGGGCGCGTCAGAATGGAGCGAAGGAAGGAAGTGGGGGTAATGCACTACTGGAGAACTACAGGTGCTAGGTGGGTGTTGTGTGGTGATACTACCTGCAGGAGTGCGAACATACGTCTAAATTACACACATTGGGCCCCCCCCGGGGGCACAAGGGGTTAACTCTCAGCACTATGAAGCTATTGGCAGCCAGAGAGGTGATCTACAAGGGGCATCAGATCTCTCCCGTCTCTCGGACGCTCTGCTCGGCAGTGTATTTCATTCAATCCACCTGTTCTGCTCCCCCACATTGTCTCTGGTGATTCCTCTCACCCCCCGCACCTCTGGCCTGTTCCCCAGTTCTTGTATGCACAAATACATTTAAAAAATAAATCTTAAAAAAAGAATAATTATATACACTGTTGCAAATCAGCATTACCTCAAAAAATTAGCACATTTTTAAAACTCTATTTTTACATGGATATAATAAGCAATATAATCCTACTATACCCATTTTCTTTCTTATTGGGGGTGCGTAAGCCACTTTTGAGTTTTATCAATCACAAGCAATGCTGGAGGGAGCCCCTCCGACAGAAGGGTTGCCTACAGAAACCTTAAGCAGTGACCAGTGGTCCCTCGGGAGGGTTACCAAATGTGAGATTACGCTTCTCTGTTATCTCATTCAGCCCCTGAATGTTACAATCCATCCTTCATCACCTCCCCCAGACTCTCTGTTTTTAAGAAGAAGCCTCCTCTATAACACTAAGTCATTGTCATCAATCTAGGCGCCAAGTTTGGAGAATGCAGTGAACGAGTTTGGGACTTGCAGTCAGAAACTCACCAATTTCCTTGTCCTAACGGTGATGCCAGCAGTTACCTGAGGTCCTCAGTTTGTGTTTTCTCACCTGGGAAGTGGGGACAATAACCTCTCTCAAGAGAGTCATGCGAGGATTCGAGCAGATAAAACATGTGGCAAGGGCTCTGAAATCACGTTTCCTAGCAAATGTCAGCTGTCAGCAGTGTGCTGACAGCTGCTACACAACTTCCACAGAGAAATAAAAGAAAAACTGGCTTAGATTTATGTGCTCTGGGAGAAAAACTGAACCTTTCCTAAAAAAAAAAAAGTTTTGAGGGTTTGTTTTTTTGTTGTTGTTGTTGTTTTTTAGTTTAAAAGTCTTCTGGAGAGATGACAGCTATCAAAAAAGACATTTCCCAAATCCGCCAAAGACTCGAGAGCCCGGGGCTTTGGAAGGCTTCGGCTGGTGTGACGCCTTCACTCACCTCTGTCAGAGCAGGAGAGGTAGGTGACCCGGTGCGGCCCCGCCCCCTGGGGGCGGGACACAGCATCCAGACAGGTGGCCATTGGCCCCAGCGCGTCGCCCAGGGACATTTAATGATGAGGAGCATGCTGCCAAGAGACCAGCTGGCAGGGAGGGGACCAGCCAGCAGGGGCAGGAGACATGAGAAGAGCAAGGTAATTTGACCATCCAGGGAAGAAAGGTGGTACAGCTTCCACCAGCGCAGAAAAGACTCGGGACCGAGAAGTGCGAGGCCAGGAAAGTGCTCTCCATGGGGCTGGCGAAGACACAACTAAGTAAAAGGGTTTCTGTGTAGCCATCATCCTGCAGTAAGCTCAACAGGGAGGAAACGGGTCATTTTAAAGTCCATGCAGAGTTGAGGGCTAGACATTTCAGGCGTCAACTAGGAACTCCCAGGGGCTCAATGATGAAGCTGGAAGATAAGCCGATGGGCAAAGAAAGCCTGGAAGGAACGAGTCAGCCACTCCTAGGTGAGAGGCACCTGGCCAACGGGAAGTCGGCAGCAAATGGGACAGCCACGGGTTCCGAAAAGCAGAAGACAAGCGGGTCGTGCAGTGCGCCCAGAAAAAGCCACCACACGTACAGCTGGCAGGAGATCCAGAGACACAGCCAGGAGGCGGACCAGTGGCTGGTGGTGGATCGCAAGGTGTACAACGTCACGGACTGGGCCGCCAGGCACCCAGGTGGGCGCAAGGTTCTCAACCACTACGCCGGGGAGGACGCCACGGTAAGGAGCCCTGCCCCCTCTCTCTCTTCCAGCTGGGTGACTGGGATCTTGGCTCTGTGCCCAAGAACACTTCAAGTATGTGTTCAAGCGCCACAATCACTCATCTCCTCCCAAACCAATTTTTCAGGATTCCTTTCCAGCAAGAATTTGAGAGCAAATTAAGCCTCGGTGTCTAGTTAGTATCTGTACTGGGATTGGGACGAACTCACTTGTTGACAGTGGACACTGTGTGTGTGTGGATTCGGGGTCTTGGGTTCTCCCCCTCCCCTCCCACTTCCACCCCCCCTCCCCCTTGGTTTGTGTTTTTGGTTTTTTGGGTTTTTTTGGAGTGGGGTATTGTCATGTAAGATAAAAGTTAAAATACGTGATAAAACCTTTACCCAGGTAAAAATTTCTCAGGCGGCTATAATTTGAGAGTCTTAAAGTCAGACAGCCATCTGGCAACATCAAAATGTTGCTAATAACAATGATGAAAACCTGCAATTTTGTAGGCTTTTTTAAGTGCTGCAAAGCTCTCCTGTGTCCCAGAGCTCCTTCAGGGTGATATAGTCATACTACCCACTTTTTTTTATTTTTTAAGATTTATTTATTTATGCATACAGAGCTGGGGTACAGGCCAGAGGTGCAGGGCAATGAAAGGATTCACCAGAGACAGAGTGGGGAGCAGAACAGGCCGATCCACGAAGTACACTGCTGAGGGGAGCAGCAGGAGGGTCAGGTGAGGTCTGCTGCGCCATGTGGGTCACCTCCGAGGGACATGGGAATCGAACTCATGGGAAGTGGATATAGCTTCTTAGTGCTGTGCTTTCACCTGCTGCGCCACCAGGGAGGGCCAATACTACCCACTTTTATGGAAGAAGAAATTGAGAGGTCACCCAGAAAGAGGTCGCAAATTGAAAACTGTATCTTTCTTAACTTCCAGCCTTTACAATTTTCTTCACTGCTTCTTTTTTTTTCTTATCTAAATGGTGTAAGGGATTTTTAAAAAGGAACTAGAATTTATTGCTACCTAGAGTGATTCAGACATGTTCAAATGCATTCCCAATTCATTTAAACGTCATCATGATGAAGGTAGATATTATCCCTTGTTACAGATAAGAAAAGAAATGTTTAAGGAGGCAAATAGCGTATCCCACATTTAGTAATAATAGTGCCAACTTTTGAAATCAGGTAGGTTTTGGAGCCTTTAAAAGCAGAATCCTTAAAAAACAAAATTTCCATTTAATATTTAATAAGAATCTCTTTAGTCCTTCAATGTATTTATGAATACTTTCTCAAGATTTTCTATCAGAATCTTTGTTTTATCCCAATTATCAATTTTATGCTCCATGATGTACAGGTAAAGAAATGTAGACTAAGAGGAACTAAATAATCCAAGAATAGAAAATTAATAAAATAGGGAGCACAAAGTTAAACCAGGCATTTTTTTTTTTTTACTTTTTTGCCACAGATAATTTGCCAAATTATCCAACTGGTTTCAAAACATAGCATTAAAAACATTGATTTGATTCACTAAACACCACTCTGCGAAGGTACTAAGCCAACAATAACAAAATACATAAACACCTGTCAAATATGCAAAGTAAACAAGATTCCATCGTTGGAGACTATGAGCATCGTTTTTTTCTCCTCAATTTTCATTTTTTTCAAGGTTCCCATCTCATCCCTCTGACCATTTCCTTTTGTTATCCCCACTGAAGTAGCATTGGTTTATAACTTTATATGGGTTTCAGGTACACTGTGATCATCTGACCTGGGTCTATGTTACATTATGATCACAACCAAAAGTCTAGTTTTACCTCCCACCCTACATAGATCTTCTTTACCCTATTTACCTCTCCCCTTTTCTCCTTCTATTCTGGTAAGGTCCACATTGTTTTTATCACGTAAGGGGTTGTTTTTGCTTGGTTTTGTTTCTTTATCTGCTACATATGAGTGAAAACATATAGTATTTATCTTTCTCTGTCTTATTTCACTTGGCATAATAGGTCCTCTAGGTTTATACACGTTGTTGCATATGGCAAGATTTAACCTTTTTATAGCTAAGAAGTATTTCATCATGTGTACATATACATCTTTAGTCAGTCATCCACTGACTGACCAGGATCACCTTCTACCACCCATCAGTCTTGATTCTGCCGTCAGAAGAATACACTTTTGAACATACCCCGCTACATCCACACCACATCTGTCAGAACCAATATTTTTTAAACCAAGGTTCAACCTATTCTTGGAAAAATGTGCATGAACTTCTAGTCTGGAATGGGACTACCACATGAGTCAGAAAGACACATGCTGCAGGAATGCAAAGACTGGAGGTAGAGGGAACAGGTGGAAGCATGTGTGCAAAAATAACAGGAGAAAGATGAACAAAACTAGAAAGGTGCAAATATTACAGATCCCCATCTAGCCTGATCCCTCATTCCCGCAACTCAGAGCAAATACAGATAAGCCTTTTCCAACACAAGTCACAGAGTTAGCTCACAGGGTGAACAACAAAGACAAGACCAGCTTGCAAATAACTGCTAAGTCACTCAACTGGAGGCAGCTCAGCTGATAATTCTGAAGCCTGCTAATGATTTTTATTTCCCAGGAGCTAGGAAAGGGCCATGATTCTGCATCCAATCCCAACTAACTAGGAAGACAATGAATAAAACAGAAAATGAATAAAACAAGGAAAATGCCCAAGCCACCTTAGGATCTCTATCTAGAAGATAAAAATCCTGAGCACAGTCAGACATGTACCTTAGATTTTAGGCATCCAAAAATGTTCAGAAAAAAAGACGCTCCAGAGTAAGGTAATTCAAGAGGGACTAGAAGATGCCAGGGAAATTCTGTCCATCACAAGACTCTGTAGTCACTCAGAGGACAGGGGTCCTGAGCATTGGAATCAATTCTGTATACCCAGAAAAGTTATTTAAATGTTATTTAAATGTCCTAGATTCAACACCAGCATCTGTAATAGGAATAGCATTACCCACCTAGATGATGAATGGTTAAAGGACTAAAGCTTTCAAGTGGTCAGCATTTAAAAAAGGTTCATGAAATTGTAGCTGTTATTATTCATCTCACCAGCATCCCTAGTCTCTGATATGTGATTACTTACTTCTTGTTCACCACCAGCTGAGCGATCCTAACTATATTGGGAACAGAGGGGACATGGTAGAGAAGCATCATGCTTTCTAGTGAAAGAAGGAATAGAAGGAAGAACATAAAGCCGGAAAACCTGAGGTCGAATGCTCCTTTTACAACTTCAGAGGAATTTGCAGGTTGAGCCCTAGAGGCAAATGTGTATTGAATATGGTCTCTGAGTGTCATGCCGCACCTGCCCAGAGGAGACACCTTCTTTCTTATTTACATAGACTTTCTTCTGCAAACCTCCATCTTCTTTACAAAAGATGAATGATGATGCCTAAGTCCTCTGCCTCATGGGGTCATCTGTTCACTCACTCACATAGTCAGTCATTCTAAAACCCACATTAAGGATCCAGCCAAAAGGGTAAAGATTTCAGAATGAAACTGATGTCTTCTGGTCTCTACCACCAGCCAGGAATGTTCTGAGGAACTTGCTAAAGCTCATGGGGCCTGGAGTCCCTTATCTAGGAAGTGAGGATAATATCTTCATTTTGGGGTCATTGTGAAAGTCAGTGTGGATAAAGGGAAATGTTGTCTATGGTATTTAATGGCACATCATTGAATGACTAAATTGGCAGCTCTTGTGTTTAATTATTACTTAGTTCTTCTGAGATGGGTTGTAATCTTTACCAAAGAACTTTACTAAGAAAAATAAGTCCCTCAAACCCAATTAGCACATCAGTCTGAGCTACCTGATTGCTTTCATGTTCATTTCCTCAATTACTTCTTCATGTCAAGTTTGCAGGTTGTTTCTCCATTTTCCTAGATGAATTCTTCCAGGTGAGAAGAACTGGACCAGACTCTAGTTACTAGCACTATTCCGTTTTTTAAAGATTCATTTATTTATTTATGCATACAGAACTGGGGGTACAGGCCAAAGGTGCAGGGCGGTGAGAGGATTCACCATAGCCAGAGTGGGGAGCAAAAAAGGCATATCAATGAAGTACACTGCTGAGGGGAGCAGCAGGTGAGACAGGAGAGGTCTGCTGCACCCTGTGGATCATCTCCTGGGCGGGGCTCAAACTCAAACCAAAGTGGCCACAGCTTCTCAGTGTGTGCTTTAACCCGCTGCGCCACCAGGGAGGGCCAGTGCTATTCATTTTTAATCATAGAATTAATTATGGAGATTACAATATATCCTAAAATGGGCTATTGTGCAATCAGTAAAATGAGGATTACAAAGCATCTGATGACATGAAAAGTCCATGAATAAATAATTAGCACTTTTAAGCACAGTGTGTTCCAGGCTCCCTGAAAGGAGGGAACTCAACCCTGTGATGTGTTCACATGGGCAGCACGTCCAGAATGCAGACACAGATTCATTGTTCAGAATACCGAGCGGCCCACTATGTACCTCTATACACATCTTCACACTGAGAGAGACACTGAGAAAAGTTCTTTCTCATCAGAGTGGAAGGTCAATATAGCAAGGAAAGCATGCCAGGGACTTAGAGAAAGGACAGCCAAATCCATTTCGACTAGCTGGAAGACTACAATATGGAAACCATGCAACATGCAACTCCACATGAGTTGTGTGTTGCTAACCGAGGCCAAGGCAGGTGGAGGTGAGGATGTGTACAGATGGGATGTGAGTGGGTGGGGCACAGATGTGACTCATCTCAGGAGTAAGCACCCAGCCACAACAGGCATGCCAGCTTAGCTACTTCCTTTGTTTGGGATGATATTGGCCAATAGTACATGCTCATTTAATTAATTAAAGCCACTGACAATCATGAGGATGAGAAGAGGTGAAGGGGGAAGAGAAAATGATGGAAGAAGTACAGAGAAAGAGAAGAGAGAGGAAGAAGGGAGAAAGGACCTTGAGAGCTGAGCTAACACTGTATATTTCCTCTCCTTCCCCTGTACATGATGATACTTACCCAGCACAGCTTCCCTCTCTACCCCCAATCAGTACAACATAATCAACGAGGATTTCTAAGCTGTGAGCAAAATGGAAGTAATAATCAGTAATCACTGCATCTTTCCTGCGTTGTTAGAATTTAAGTAATCTGATTCTCATTTGAATGATGGTCTGAGCTGAAAAGTAGATGGAGTTGATAGGGAGGCAGATCGCTGAAGTGCTAACAGGTGATTGTGGACCACAGGGAGAGGCTGCCTTTCTGAAGGGAGCATCTGGTGAAAAGAAGGCAGAAAGTAAGAAAGTCAGTTAAAATGCAGGAAGGAGTTCAGACAACATGCTGAAGCTTGAACAAAGCATTGACCAGAGAAAATGGGGAAGAAGGAAGGGTGTCAAGGGTATCTTGGGGACATGCCTTACAGTATTTGATGAATGAATGGATCAACAAACAGAAGAAAGGAGTCTTTCTTGGGTTATCTGACTTGGGTTATCTGACTTGGTAACCGGATGGTGATGTTCATTATAAGAGAGGAAAGCAAAGTATGAGCCGGTCTGGTTGGAGAGGGGGTACAGAGAGAGGAAGAGAAAGAGAAAAGGAAGGGAACTTTGTGCTTTTACATCTCCTGATTACCGTTAAATAGCAGGAAGTGCAGACTTTCCGAGCTATTTCTGAAAACAAAGTAATAATCACTTCTATTCTATGTTGATACAGCTTTGAAGATAATCAGTTTCAAGATGAGCTATGAAACACATTTTGAATAGCTTAAGAAATGATGGTTTAGAAGAGAATGAGAGGGCTTAGCTGCAAATAAAACTCATTAACACAGCAAGAAGGTCAGGGAATAAAGATGTGGAGGTTAGGGAAGGGACAGAGGTGCTCAAGACCTGTAACCTCTGGAATCAGCGCTTATATTATCCCAACTGACTCCTTGTTAGAGAAATCCCATCCTCATCCATTCATTCCCCCTTTATTTTATTCCTCAGGCTTGTATTCATCACATACTGTATTCCAGGTGCAGTGATAGATATTGATGAAAATTTAATCTGTAGTGCAAGAACATCTAGAGAAAAGGCTGTGGTAATAACAGCGCCATCTGAAAAGCTTTAGGAGCAAATGTCACAGAAGTCCCATGGAAATCAGAAATAACTTTCCTGAGTAAGTTACGGAAGGCAATATTTCATTTGGACCTTCAAGGGCAGGAAGGAGCTTTTACGTAGAGAAAAATGGAGAAAGGCAGTCAAAGTGAAGGAAACAATGTGCAACGCTTTAGAGCCAAGAGGGTCCTTGGAATGCTTATGGAGTGGGAAGAGAACCAGGGAACAAAGTGGGACATGAGATTAGAGGTTAGCTTGATGGCAAAAGTTGGAGTCTGAGGCAACATGATTTTTATGACTAAAACCTAAGGAAGGGAGACAAAATTACTATCTGTCCATAAATGTTTATTAATTTTCACATCATCTCAAAACAATCTGGCATTGCTCTGTTCTGGAGGGACATTTCAGAAAAAGAACTATCTATGCTAAAACTGGAATGGACCCTTATAACTTCAGGACTGTAAAGTCCCATGGTCCTAAGTTTAAATCTTTTCACTCTACTATTTTCTCTGACACTTTGAACAAGGCTTTTCTCCCCTCTGAGATGTGGGGTCTTTTTCTGTAGAGCAGAGAGGTTGGAAACTCACAGAACTAAGGTGATGACTATGAGTGGGCCCATGGAGCACTGAACACCTATGTCACACTCAATAAAGAGTGATCCATTCTCTTCATCCTTCTTCCCTTCACTGTATCCCCTCTCCTTCCCTCAGCAGCAACAAACTTACCCAGAATGCTGATAACAGAACTTGATACTGCAGGTCTTTCAAGAAGGTGATTTCACAACTTACTCAACATCCAGACTGTCTTAGGAAAACTTCTTAAATGTAATATTTTATGACTACTTAACTTCCCATTAACACTTGAAAGAAGCTAGCAGATCAGGTCAATGCCTGCCATTCTGGAAAACTTTGTAGATTTTAGTAATTGATGGCACAGTATTGCCCTGTGACTCTTGTTGAGGATCTGAATAAATTGTGAACCCAAAAGAATATTGCTATACTGAGATTACTCCAGGGATCTGGATGACTGGTCAGAGTGAAATGAGATTACAATAGCTTCCCTTTCCTCTACACCCTTATCTTGATCCGACAGAAGGTCTTCCATGCCAGTGTGTTGTCAAACACAAAGCAGAACATGATTTTCCAGTGTGGTTCACCCTGAAATGCCTTTATCACCTTCATAATCACTGAGTGACCCTCTTTCTGATAAGGGGAACTAAAATATTAGATTCATATACTATGACAGTAAAAAAAAAAATCACCTTAGAAATCATATAGTTCAGTGTTTCCTAAAGGGGAGCCTGGCCCAGTTCCAGCAGATACAAAGCCCTTTTTTAATCATGGAAGCTAGAGACCCTTAGTCTCATATTACACCCATCTAATTAACCTTATGTCTATGTAAGCATCTTTTTATAAATAGGCCCATATGCCTAAAGTTGCCTTAGGACTTGAAGATGGAAAATTAGTAATATGCACCAAGATAATTCTGATGCCACATTAGGCATTAAATCATAGAAATTAAATCTCTATGCTGAAAAGAAGGTAAGTAGTGAGTTCTTATCATGAGAAACATACCTATAAGAGAGGTAGCTCATGTGCACTGAGAATTTACAACATGACAATCAGATTCTAATTAATTCACTCAATCTTCATAACAAGCTACCAATATCACCGCCATATTAGAAAAAGATACAGACAGGTCAAGAGACTTGTGCACATCACTGGCTAGACAATGACAAAGCCAAACTTTAGATGAAGGAAGACTACTCCAGGGTCCACTTTCTGAAAGGGCCATTCAGTTCCAAGTGACAACCTTGGTTATAGTTTACTTTTAATGACTCCTGTCCCCAATTCTCTACTGGCAGGAAATCCAGCACCTTCCTCTCAGAAAACCCTCCACCCCAAAAACTATTTAAATCCCTGGGTGAAAGGAGTCTTTATCTTACTATCAAATACAAGCAGAAGTGGAGACTTCTGCTGTTTCTCAAAGCCACTTGGAGTTGCTACTTAACATGGGCAGACATAGAAAAAAGGCCATTTGTCGCTCTGCTCTGTTCCAGGCTGTTCCAAACGCCTTCAGAGATGGCCACTGTGTATGTCAGGAACAGTGATGAGGCCCCTTCAGTGACAAACTTAACCAGAAATGCTTCTTTAGCCAATGTAGGGCTCAAGTTCCATGGTCTCTTATACATCCATCGTCACCATTCATCACCAACTTCAACCTGTCTTTCCTTTAAAATAACTTTATACAAGGGCTTCATTTCCCTGGTTCCTGGTCAAGAACCAAGAGGGCAACTTTAATAGGAGCATAATGGCTGGAAACACTATATAGTCTGAGCATCTCCCCCGGCAAGCCTGATGTTGGACTTTGAAGATTGGTCACAATCCACAAACTCAAGCCAAGTATTTCTCCAGATGTTCAATGAAATAGATTTTTCCAATGCTTGGGGATAGTTCAACTGCATTTCTCTTGCCTAGTGAATCAGTAGATGGGTTTTTCAGTGTGAGTCTCTCATAGAGTACTTCTGAGGATAATTTTGAAGACCTCGGAATACAGAAACATCAATCTGTAGTGAGAAATAAATCCTCTATCAGAGAATCTCTGCTTCCCGAGATGGCTGAGGGAGGGGCGGGGGCCAGCCTGCGGATAAGCAGGTGCCTTCTACACCTCTGAAGATGCTCTCTGGTTTCCAGGATGCCTTCAGAGCCATGCACCCAGAGCCGGACATCATGCGATTGTACCTGAAGCCCCTGCTCGTCGGAGAGCTTGCCCCAGAGGAGCCCAGCCAGGAGAGAAACAAAAATGTGAGTGAGGTCTCAGGACATGTGAGTGTGTGGAGGGATGGGCCAAGGTATACTTGGAGTTCACTGTGTTATTTTTTATTAGAAAACAGCCACTGCACCTAGGTGGAGCAGCAGTTGCCTAAATTAGAAGATTTCTCACCTATCACAAGAGCACCAGCATCCTCAACCCTCAGAACTCTGAAAGCTGCAGAACTGGGGTGGAATTGCTGGTCCTGCCCCAAACAGTAATTCCGTGTCTCCAAGCACCTTCATGCCCATTTACTTACATGTATAATTTCTTTTATTGTTTAAGATTTATTTATTTATCTATTTATTTATTTATACATGCAGAACTGGGGTACAGCCCAGAGGGTTGGAGGTGAGAATATCTACCAGAGACAGAGTGGGGAACAGAACAGGCAGAGATACTGAAATACACCGCTGAGGGGATCAGCGACGAGACAGGAGAAGTCTGCCATGCCGTGTGGGTCAGCTCCCTGGCTGGGGATCGAACTCGTGCCGAGGGGCGGCTAGCTTTGGGTGCTGCTCTTTAATCCGATGCACCACCTGGGAGGGCCCCATGTATCATTTGTTTTCAGTGATTGCTTATAATTGCTTTTTTGGTATTCTTGGCTCAACTAACTTCCATGAAAGCAGGGAATATGTTTATTTTGCTTCTTCCTGTGTCCTCAGGGCTCATGTGCACAGGAGCAGACTTGTTGGGGAAATGCCATACATAGCTGTCAAATGAAGATGTGACGATATCATCACCACAGACTTTTCATATTTGGGGAATTATAGTTCTGAGAGATTATGTGTCTTTCTCAAAGTCCCACAGCTGAGACTCCGAGAGTCTTCTTTCTGACTGCTATTCCTTCAGCAGTGCCCAGAAAGGGGGCCATGCGTTCATTCCCTTACACTGACTACCTGAAACAGTGTCTTCCAGAGGAAAGGTCATTACAAGACTGAAAATTCACTAATAAAATTCACTAGGTTTTAAAGCTTAAAGAGTTTTTAACTAATACTGCACATTCCAATAAAAATAGCTTATTGTTGTATAAGATCTTTTGTATCCATTTGTACAAAGTGCTGATCCATGTATCATTTATGCCCTTATACATGGATCAGTACTGGCAGCAGGGATGTCAAACCAGCCACTCTTCTGGGCTTGGAGACCCCCTACTCTCTACTGGTAATGATGGGCTAGTAACGATGACCAGGCTGGAGGGTCCCTAAAGATGATCTCTTAAAATTATCTGTAGCCACCAGGATTCCACAGTTAACAGGAGCATAAGAGATGAGCTTCTCCAAACTTTCCTGAGGTAGTGGATTCTTGAAAATTGCATCAGTGAATTTTGCAATGAATTTTTTGGCATCTAGAATTATATTCATAGCTTCTTTTTGCCGCGGACCAGTGCAGCAGGAGCAGGAGACAAGTTTCAGGGATGGCAATTCTGGCACACGGTGGACAAGGATGAGTGGAGTGACAGACAGACACGACTTCTAAGAGTGCATATCTGAATGTAATTTATTTTTAAGAGTGCGGAGCATTTATATAATTTTTCTTGGCAAGCAAATATAGGGGTACAATGATTCTTTCAATAGAAGCATGACAGATAATACATTTTTTTATTGTTTCTGAGATGTCATCAGGGGCCTGAAACCAACCTGGGGCCCTGAGAAACCATTGTGCATTCAAGGTTCAGTGGTGCTAAACAAATGCCCTATCCATCACTTTTGCCTTGCTAATCCTTTTAATTGTTCTCTCCATTCTTTTACAAGCCACCTGGTATACAGGAGTTAATAGATTAATAGATTATAGAAAAGTTTCTCAGAGTTAAATCAATATTGAGAACAGAGGAGGCTACATTCCTTTCAAGAGTATCATTAGAACGAAGCACAGTGTTCATAACATTTCTTTGGTTTAGTACGTTGTGTGTCAGCAGAATCAGGAAACAAATTAAAAGTTGCAGTGACCATTCGAGAATCAGCCATTCTTTTATTCCTGGAGGGACACGTATTCCTCCTGTGTGCCCGGTACCTTCACCGTGCCAAGCTCTAAGGATTTCTCACTTAGGCGCCTCAGGAGGGGATGTGGCATCTTTTAATTTCCAGTTTCTCTGCTTCATCATAGCTGAACAATCCTGCCCTCTTTCTAGTACCCTGGTAACTTTCCCAATTGCTCTGGTTTCAAATCTATTACAGTCATTAAACCAAGAGATGTTCCTTCCTGGCCCTCATGCAGACACCCAATGTGATGTGGCAACATGATGTGACAAACCCATAAACCAAAGCTGGCACTGGATATATACACATGCCAACATGCCCCACTCAGGAACATAGAACCAGGACCCTGCAACCAGCAGGTCACACGGTGTCTCTGGAACCCTGTCTTGACTGTGGGGTCATTGAACAGCTCAAGGAAATTCATCTTTTGAATTAATTGAAGTGAATTTTACTGTATGTCTGTCAATGACTATGAAAGAACCCTTTGCACATATAAACAGCTGATGACATAAAAAAAAATCACCTTGTAAATTGCACCCCTCTCTACTGTAACACAGACACACATGACCAGCAAAGTCCCCAACACATAAACAGGAGGTCCAACATCCCCCGAAATGATACCAGTGACCTGAAAGGCAACTGTTACACCCTAACAACCACCCCCTCCAGCAACAGAAAGGAATTCTGAGTCCTATCGCAATTTAAGGACAGTTTAGAAATCACTACTTACCGCCTCTACTTCAGAGGGAAATAAACTATCATAACATTTCAAAGGTTTTTGTCTGTGCATTGTTTTTTGTTTTGTTTTGTTTTTCTTTCTGTTCAATTATATTTATTAATAATAAATTTGTATTCATAACATGAAGGTATTGACAAGTTAATAAAATACATGATGAATCCTGTTCCTTTGCACCGCCCGCCCCTGAAGGGTCTAATTCCTCCTATATTTATTTCACAGCCCCAGCTGGTGGCAGATTTCCAAGAATTGCGGCGGTCTTGCGAGGCCATGAACATGTTTGACGCCAACCTGGGCTTCTTCTCCCTCCACCTGCTCCAGATCTTGGTTTTGGAAGCCCTGGCTTGGCTAATCTTGTGGCATTTTGGCAACAGCTGGTCTACCATACCAGTCATTTCGGTTCTTCTGACAATTTCTCAGGTAAGCAGGTATTCGGAGCCCCGGCAGTGCCTGCAGAGGATGGCGCCATGCTTTTTAATTTCTTTTTGGTTTGTGTCAGCTGCTGCCCGACACCTCCTGCCAAGCTACTCATAGGAGTGTGACACCAGCAATTACCAACCTAGTTGAATTCCAGTTCAATAACAACTTTTTCCAAAGTCCTTTCAAAAGGATAACACTTTTTTTTTAACTTTACTTTTATTTTATTAATTTTATTTGTGTAGAAGAACTGGGAAGTTAAAGGATTCATCCAAGACACAGTGGAGAGCAGAACAAGCAGATGTACTGAAATACACTGCTGAGGGGAGCAGTGGGGAGATAGGAGATGTCCGCTGCACCATGTGGGTCAAGCTTCACAGCCAGCCAGGATCAAACTCAGGCCACCACAGTGGGCCACTGTGGTGGTGGAACTGAAACTTAACCCTAGCAACGAAGGAGGCCCCAAATGGATAACAACTGTTTTATGGAAATATTCTAAGGCTAACCAAGTGAATGTGTGGAATACTTAGACTAGTGCCTGGCATATAGTAACTATTTAACTCATGATAGTTGCTGTTCTGCCAAATGTTAGCCACCCAAGTTTAGTAAGTGAAGTTCTGTTCTCAACTACCAAACACTCATCTTCATCTTTCATTCACTTACCAACCCACATTGATCAATGCATCAGACCCTGAGTTCTTCAAGAGCAGAGACTATCTTATTGGATGAGAATAGGAACATAGAATTCCATGGTAAATGGTAACAGCACCTGGGACATAGCAGAGCATCTGATAACTCTGTTAAGCAAAGCAGGACCTTCTATGTGGGATTGAAGGGAAAGTGACCTGGTTGGTGCCTGACCTTGGGAAATCAGTCCTCCGAAGGAAAAACAGTCCCTCAATTATCTACACATACTAGCTGACAGGATGGCTTAGAGGCCAAGGAAAGGACCAGGCAGGTGCTGGGAAGTAGAAAGAGGCATTTCATGCTGAGGGGACCCGAGGAAGCTGTGTTCCTGCTTATCACATAAATAACGGAGCCTCAGAGCAACCGGTAACCTACCAGGAGGCGCTTGTGAAGAACCTGCCTATGTCCAGTGGGCATCCTCTTCCCCCTCCACGTTGGAAGAATTTGACAGAGCAAGGAGAGCATTCTAGTCTGCAAGAACCACCTGTGTGGAGGCAGGGAGGTGGACAACAACATGGCCGTGCAGGAATGCAAAGCCGTCTGTGCTCGAGGTCGACAAGATGGCGCCTGTTCTCAGACAGGCACCTGAATCACCCTGGGGACTGATCTTCCGGTGGGCTGTCAGATGCTTTTCATCTTCACTCCCCAACTTTTCTAACAGCAGCTTTGTCTCTCCCAGGCTCAGAGCTCCTTCCTGCAGCATGACACGGGACACCTTTCGGTATTTAGGAAGTCCAAGTGGAACCACCTGGTGCACAAATTTGTGATGTGTCATCTCAAGGTACAGGATGCTCGGGGAGGAGGGGCCGTTCCCCGGTGTCACCTCCCACGGCAATGGTTTCCAATTTTGTGTATTTACGCTAGTAAAAAATAAGTCTATGCACACCCCCAGATAAATGGAAACAGACTAGCAATGTAGTTGTAATATTAATGTAGTATTATGTTGTATTATAGATGCTAAAAGGAAAAGTTTACATTTTTACAAAGAAAGGTTTATTTTTATTGAAGAAGCTTTTGGATTTTTCCTTACTCCAATAACCTATTTGACCCAACCCCTGACACCCCATTAAGGAACCATAATTTGTGAACAGAACAATCAAATGGGAAGTGGTTCTAAAGTAAATCAAGTGCACATTGCCTTTCTTCACAGGCAAACCCAGTGATTTGCGAGCAAAATAAATATAGTCTTCAATATGTGCAGGAGAAAAAAATTACCAGTGGGGAGGAAAGGAAAGGTGGGTGGGAGGGACATAACAAAAAAAATTACAATATAAATAGCAACGCTGCAACATTCCTGCTTTAAACATTATCACAGTTTTAAATTTCGAAACTTGATTTCACATCAACATATCCCACCCCTAGGAAAATGCACAGGTATTAAGAGTCTTTGGAATTTTCATTCACTAACTAGCTACATAAAAATATATATGTTCTGATCTCCACAGTGTTTATACAATAAAAGAGAAGAAATGTCAGCAGACATTTTGGGATTTTGTGTGATGCTAAAATCAAGCTGCAATTCCTATCTTTTCTTCCTCACACACACCCATAAACATATTATGAAAACTGTAAAAATTGAGTGCCATTATGGGGATAAAGAGGCAGAGTATTTGAAATAGAGGCCTCCCTTTAAAAGCGACCTGTATGGTTTCCAAGGCTATGCCCTAAAACATTCTTGAGGGAGTGACTTGTCCTCTCCAGTAACCTCAGCATGTAACAAATGAGGAAACTGCCCAAAGCCCCACGCACAGTGCCCCACACACAGTAACAGGGATTTCCATTCAGAATGGTCTCACTCTGATTCAAAGCCTGGATTCTTTAAGCTGTACTGAATAGAGACCCAACTTAGAAGTGAGGAATGACTTGGCATGGTTCCTCTATGAAACCTGGTGTAGGAGCAGCTGATTTTACTTATCTCCGGTAATTGTGGCTTTCAGAGTGAGGAGCCAGGGAAGGGCCAGCTGCCGTAGGCCACACCCATAATTACTCTGACCACTGCTATTCTAAACTCCAGAACCTTGACATGTCAAAACATGCATCATGAACCAAAACCTGTCTCAGATTACCACAGTCATTGGATAAACGGGGACGGCGTGCTAGTGGAAGAGGCCAGAATGTTGGTTCTTGAAGGATTTAGTGGAAAAAGAGAATCATTGCTTATCAGTGTCCTTGCTAATTGTCTACTACTCCCATAGATTATATGTTTCTTAAGTGTGGAAGCTCCACTTTATCATGTCCATCTTCCAAATGCCTAACTTAGTACCCAGCACATGGTACCGACCTCAAAATATATAATGAGTGGGTGAATGCATGGATGCGTGCCTACTAAGAGTGAGTGCATGGCATGCAATTTGATAGACGTGCAGAGAAGCAGGATGAAAGCCCAGCAGGGGACAGAAACTGACATGTTGAGGCCAAGATATCATGAGGTGTCTCAAAGGACATGTTTGGAAAGTGATTGCCTATCCTGACCAGAGAGAGAGAAAGATTCCACTGGAAGGTTATTGAGGTGTATCAGTGCTGAGACAAGAATGCCACTCCTGGTAGATTGGGGGTGGGGTGAGGGAAGGCTGCCATTGGTAGAAAAGACAGCAATGAGAGCACAGTATCCTCTAGCATAGATATGCAATATCCAGGCCCACACAATGCAACAGAAACAGAATGCTAATTGCATTAAAATGACACAAGTCATTTTAATTTTCTATAACCACATTTTTTAAAGGCAACTTAATTTCCCTTTATATACTCAAATATCATCTCCATGTAGATCAGCATAAAAAGTACTAGTAAGATATTTTACATTCCAGTTTTTTCATCCTGAATCTCAAATTCCAGGGTGATGATATTCTCCCAACCCATCTTGATTTGGTCAGATAACAAATGCTTAATAAAAACAAGTGACTCACTAGAGGCCACAACATGAATAGTAACTGAGAGATGTCAAATCTGTAATGAAAACTACAATGGCTGCTTATTCTCCTCAACTGATTAACACAATAAGGGAAAGGAGGGGAAATTGAATACTTTAATGTGTCAATATTGACATAAAGCATCTCATGTCACCCCCAAACAACCCACAGAGATAAATGTCATTACACTCTGTATTCTGGAAATGGAACTGAAATGCAAAGAAAGAGGGTAATTTCCCCAAAGCTCACGCATTATTTATAAGCCTAGTATGTGAAAGGTGGTTGATGTGCCTCTGACTCCTCTGTTAAGACCTTCAGACTTTCATTGAGAGAGAAAGTCACAAACACCCTACTCAAAGGCAATTTTAGCTCGGTGTTAGTTCTTTGGAGATGCAAGTAGAAAACTCTCATAGTGATGGACATTTTAGGAAGGAAATCTTTCAACTAACGAGCACTTTCTTCTCAGGGCCTCTCAACCAACTGGTGGAATCATCGACACTTCCAGCATCATGTCAAACCCAACATCTACCCCAAAGACCCAGATATTAATGTGGGCCCACTGTTTCTGGTTGGAGATTTGCAACCAATCAAGGTATGTCTGGAGATCATGGGCACCAAAGAAACATTCTGGAAATGGTTCTTGGAAAGATGAAGCTAGAACATTCCAGCTTCAAGCATATTCTAAGAGCATCTCTCCTTTTAGGCTTAGGATATAGACCTGAAATAGTAACAACTGAAGCTAGAGTTGTAAGATGAGATGCAGGTGTGGGTTATGTGACTTTCTGACCTTAGAGGTAACACAGTCCAACCTATATTGTGATGCTTGAGCAATCCTACTGGCAGGTCCCTGAGGCAACACAGCCTACTCTTAGATGTTGACACTAGATGACGGAGGGGCGATGGCTCCAAAGCTGAGCAAGAACTTGGAGACATCCACTCCTGTAAGATAGGTGGGCACATTCAATAAGCATTAAATCACAAGCATCCAATTCCTACTTACCTCAACTAGTTTTACCTCCATTAGAAAAGACTACACTGTTATTTTTAGTCTGCAGTCATTTTATTCACTTGTGCCATGAGCCATGGCCCATGGGCTTGTCAGACATTGATAGACTCCTCTGATTTGGACTTTTGAAACAACAGAGAAAGAAGGAAGAAAGTCAAATCTAGAATTTTTCACTGGTTGATTTTAAAAAAAAATCAAGTTAAAGTCATCATGGAAAGGACTGTTATCAAGATTTTAGAAGGGAATGTGCTTTCAACAGTGGAGCTGGAGGACTACCGTCCCAGAATGTTTGTCTCTCCTTAAGGGAAAATGATGATTCCTGAAAGTTGGATACTTAGGAAGAGACAGATGTCTCCTTCTAGAAGAATCTAAAACTTTTATAAAAATAAAAGCAGGTATTTTTTCAGGTGCTGCTTAAACTTTGTTGCACAACAAACAAAAAATATCATCATACCTTATAAATAGTCAACCACAGCATGAGATCCTTGCTAACAATATGTAGGAGGAGTACTGGAACACAGGAGAGGTCATGCTAATTTCTTTTATTACATAAGCACTCAATAAGTATCTGCTGAGTGAATGAGAGTAGATGGAGACTGAACTTCAAGCAGATTTCTAAACACCACAAAGTTGAAAATTTCAGTAATATTCTTCTTCAGTCATCACTGCACTCCACATTAAGACAGAAAGATTCAAAATGGATTCCATGGGAATAAAAAAAAATGATGACAATCCCTTAAGTCAAGTGAAATAAATTACTCAGGCTGGAATTGCTCACATTATTTAAAGCAAAAAGGTAGCAGGGTTTTTTCCTCCCATTCTGTTTATGGTTCCTCTAGTGCCTCAAATTTGACAATGAATGAACTCTGATCAGATGGATCTTTCCATTGAGATTTTACAGAGGCACACAGAGAGAGAGAGTTGTCTTACTGTAATGACCCAAAGTATTGTCTGTTATATAAGTCTTTCTCTTCATTCAGTATGGCAAGAAGAAAATCAAATACATTGACTATGAGAAGCAGCACCTGTACTTCTACATGGGTGAGTCTACTTAGAAGCACATTCCTTCTCACCCATTTCCTTGAAGTAGCAGTTGCCAGTCTGAAAGTCATGACTGGACTCTCAGAGACAAGTTTATGTCTTACTTGTGATTAAGAAAAGCAGCATCTTATTTCAGACTTGCTAGGGGTGAAAATACGAGAAGCCGATAAAGGGTCAGACAAAGCCAAACTAAAAACTAGCGCTAGAAAACTAATTATAGAACTGAGCTCCCAGAGGAAGAGGGAGAAAGGTGAGGCCCCTGTGGGGAAGAAGAGCAAAGGACCATCCATGGTGGAGGACTGTGGGAGTCTTGGTGGTGGGTGTGGTGTAGTAACAACGCCTGAGGAGGGAGCTCCTATCCTTCTAAAACACAAACGATGATGTGAACCAGCATTACCTCAATAAATAAATAATCTTCTAAAAGATAATATGAAAAGGAGAATGGAAAAGTAAATAGGAGTTTTAACAGGAGAACAGGAATCACTCCAAGAGAGATGAAAATCTGTCATCTGCCAATCCAGGGCTCTTGCAACTAGGACTCTCCTGCTGGAAAGACTGGACACCTGTCAAGGAAAGAATTAAGAATCTGGGTAGAGAGTACCCAGGAGGACCAGGAGAATTAAGGCTGAGCATTGACAATATGATGTCAGGAAATGTAGAGGTCCAGGAGAAAAGTCCCTGTAGAGCTCGTGTGGCAGAAAGTTGGCTGTTCCCATGACTTTGGAAGACATTAGACAGAGACAGTTCAAGACAGATACCCAGATACAGATCTATAGAATCTATGTCTCTGTTTCTCTCTTTCTCGTTATCATTCCTCTCTCTATAGATTAGTTCTAAATATGGGTCCAGACTTGAAAGGATGTGGCTGAATAACGTCAATACCAATAAAAAAAAAATCAGAGGCAAAAGTGGTTTTACTCTGAACTGAAATAAATTCATGAGCACTCACAAGGAGCCCAGATGTGCAGATCCACCACATGTCTGCACATTTGAGAATCACCCACCATCAGAAAAGGTCCCAACATTTCCTGGAGACCAGTGGTTCTCGTCCAGAGTGATGTTACCCCAGAGGGGCAGGGACAATGTCTAGACACTTTCTGGGTCATCACAACAAAGGGGGAGGGATGGTCCTGAATCCAGGGGGTAGAACCAGTGATGCTTTTCAAACATCTTGGGATACAGACGATAGCTCTGAGCAACAATCATATGCATCAAATGCCAGGAGAGCAGAGATTGAGAAACTGGCAGGTGATCTGATCACCCAGTGCCCGCACCAAATGGTCCTCTGTGTGGGCCTGACTGGTGGCCTGTGATAATCACCCACTCCCTCTCTTGTATGACAGTGAGGAGGAAGGAGGACATGAGGAAGGTGCCCTGGTCTAACTCCAGGTGTGTTCACATAGGAAGGGCTGTTGGAGTTTCCTTTCAGCGTTATAACATGAGCTTATGAGAATGAATGGGTAGCATGGACACTGCAAAAAGCTCCCCCTCACAAACCACTCTGCCCTCAGGAGCTGGTCCATTGTGCCCTTTCCCTCAAATGCCAAATTAGCATCTGGGGGACAAATGAAACTGTCAGAGAGAGATGGCACTTGTTAAAGTTGGCATGATAGGTTTTACGCAGGCTGTTACAGGAGAGGGAGACACTTCAGTCTACAGTGAGCTCAAGTCTGCTGAAGCAAATGTGGAGGGCTTCCTAAACATCAAAGGAAAGTCCTGAAAGACACTGAAGGGAGGGGAACCGGTGCATGTGGTTAGGGCATCTGTGTCTGCTAATGGGTGCTCATGGACATCAGGCCCCTACCCTCCCACAGAGACTGGTGCCCAGCCCCTCACCTGGGATGATTCGCAGGCCCCTAAGAGAGACATTCCTGGGTTATAGAAGATATAATGCAACAGGACACAGACAGGATTTTACTACTGTGAGTTTCCCAACATAAACGTTCTAGATCAGGAGAAGTCAGAGGCTTATAACCACATCTCAGCTTGAGCATACAGGTAATCCTTTTAACAACATTGAACTTGCTTTGGCTGAAACCTTAAGGGCTTCAAGTCACCCCATAAACATGGCTTTGAACTGTCAGAAACTAGGCAAGGGTTTGTATTAGTGTTGAGGGAGGGTGAAATCACATGTGCTGAGGGTTGGCCAAGCTTGCCTATTTGAAGCCAACCCTAAGGCCTCCTCAAGAAGAGGATGCAGAGGACCTGCCTGCATTTAGTGGAGTCTCTGAGACCCAAAGGGTCATTAAAAGAAGATAGTAGTTACCAGAAGGGAAGAAGGTAGGTTAGTGAGATAAAGGGGGTTATTATCTTGTAAGAGATAAAGAGTAGACTTTTAGTGGTGAGTATAACATACTTGCATATACAAATGTTGATTTATAACATGTATACCTGAACCTGTATAATATAAACCAATATTATTTCAATTAAAAATTAATTAGTAAAAATAAACTATTATTACTTTTAAAAAGGAAGAGAAAAAAAATAATCTGAAAGGTGAAAAAACTTTTTAATTAAAAAAAATCTCTCTAAGGAAACGAGGATTCCTACTTTACTTCTGCTATCTCAACCTACTGGAACAAGACCCAGTCCTAAGGTTAGCAAGGAACTGAAAGATTCCATAACCACCAGTATGTGAATGCCTGTAGCAAAACTCTCCCAGATGCCTCCATCAGAGTGACTCAAATTGTCAGAGCTCCCTAAGACTCCTTGAGGAAGCTTGAACCAATTTCCAGGTTTAGTCTCAGAGACTTAGAAAGTCCAGTCCAGGATGTGGCTCTGGAGCTCCCTGCTCAGGGACAGCGAGGAGCTAGACTCGTAGCCGGGAGATGGCATTCTGCTCATTTAGTCTCCATCTTTTTGTTGTTCTTTAGTTGGACTTCCCCTCCTCATGCCTATATATTTCAACCTACAATCTATGCAAGAGATGTACCTCCGGAGGTATTGGGCGGTAAGTTACCCGACTCATTCTCTAACGCTAGATCAGATTTAAAAAAAAAAAAAATGTGCATGCAAATGTGTGGTCCCTTCCAGCTGTAACTGTTGCAGCAGGCAACACCACACTGTCAAAGAAAAGGGAGTCGTGGAGCAAACTGTTCTGGCAGGATGCTTCTGAGAACACAAAACCTGGCCTTTTATTGAATGATTTTACAGAGTCAATTACTCAGGGCAGAAGACAAAGAGAAAAATGTTAGGAAGGAGGAATGTATGTTTAGGTTACCTAGACTTTGGGGAAGAGGAGCCTACGAATCCAAATTAGATTTATAGCCCAGATTTATGGCCCAGAGTTTGAAGATCAAAATCAAGCTTGCAGACCCCCACCCCGGTACCAATCTCGTTAACAAGGCATTCCGCTGAAGATTCTCTGGAAGGCCAAGTTACATACCATTCAATAGCTCCCCAGGTATTCAAGTTCATGCCTTGTGGTATGCACTCATTGTTTAACTTGAGAGACACCTCTGCAGGGTCAAAAGTTAATTGATTGACTAGGCCAAATGGACTTCGTACTGAGAAGGCTGAACTGCATAGTCAAAATGGCGGCTTTGGTAGCTCATTCTAGCAGACCCCCGCAGTGACTCCCTAGAGTAACAGAACAGAAGACTGGCCCCCAGTGAGGGGTAAATGAAATTGTATTCAGGGCATCTAACTTTTGAGTGCTTCTCTTTCCAGGACATTGTTTGGGTCAGTAGTTTTTACATCCGCTATTTCATCACATATGGCCCTTTCTATGGAATCTTTGGAACAATCGTGCTCATATTTTGGATCAAGTAAGAAAGCAAGAATATTCCCTTATTCCCATAAACTCTTACCTCCCTTATCTCTGTAATTGAGAAATTTCCTAGAAACTTGAAATAGTTTGAAGTTTGAAGAAAAAACTTGAAGCCTTCTTTCAAAAAGAAGTTGCTCAGTCTTCTCTTTTTTCCTTCACTTGCTTCACATCCAATTGCAGTACATCGTCCAATCCCTAAACCCTTTCAAATTGCAATCCAGCTGGACATCACAATTAATGCAAGGAAAGGAATATTTTAAAGCTATTTTATGACTAGAGATTTTCTCAAAGCCAAAATGATTTCCAACTTAATAGCCCTCTTCAGCTTCCTAATTTATTCCTTCCTCACTCTTTTGCCTGATTATTCTAAATCCTTCATAGCACTAAGGATAATGATAGTGACCTTGTGCATCACTCACTTTGCTGAAGACTCGGTATGCATTATCTTATTTGATTAGCCTCATATAACCTTGTGATGTAAATAATATCTTCATTTTTCTTCTAAGGGAGTCGAAGCTCAAAAAGATTAGATCACTTGCCTGAGTTTATAGAGCAAGCAAGGACCAGTGGCAGTACAAACCAGAACTTCAACCCAGCTATGTCTGATGACAGAACACAAGCCAGTAATCATTTTGCATATGACCTTTATTTCTTCAGGTGTCTTTTGATGCTTGCACCAATGTAGTAGAGTTTGGGAGTACACATGGTATCCCCGTACACTAGGCAGAAAGATGGGTCATGTGAATTAAAGCCTAGAATGGCTTCTCTAGGTATGAAGGATCTCCAAAGAGGAAGACAAATGGCCTATAAACTTTATTGAAACCTTCGAATCCTCACCTCCCCCCACACTTCTTCTAATGCTCAGCCAGCTCTTCCAAGACTTATGCAAGTCCAGTAATTGGAACTGAAACACCCAAGGAGTCATTACTTCCTCTTTTCGTTCTTCAAAAGGGTTCTTGAAAGTCCCTGGATTGCATATGTTACCCAGATGAGTCACATACCAATGAAAATGAGCAATGAGGAGAACCGGGACTGGCTCAGCACTCAGGTAACAAAGGCGATCCTGGAGAGGATTCTTCACCTCATACTGCTTTGCAGTCTGTTACCTCATATAATCATACCCATCCACAGCTTTCCAGGGTAAAGCCTACTCCATTGCTTTGCATGCAACTACATGAGGCAGATGCTATGATCATTGCTATTTTACAAATAATAAAACAGAAGCAGTTGAGTAACTTGCATAAAGTCACACAACTAATAAATGGCAAAACCAAGTTTTCAACTTAAGCATTGTGATTTCAGAACCTTGTACTAAGCCAATGATCGGTAAACTACAGACCAAGGGCCAAGCTGGGCATATGTTTTAAATAAAGTTTTATTGGAGCACAGCCCGCTCACTCATTTGCATTTTATTGATAGTTTTCATGTTGCAATAGTAGAGTTGAGGAGCTCTTGAAAGAGAATTAAAATATTTCCTGGCTGGCACTTTATAGAAAAGGTTAGCTGAACCCTACTCTAAACTTCTGTAAGACACAGCTTTTCAAGTGAATCTGTGACCTCCAGAACAATAGAATGAACTTCACACATAGAAAGACCCTGGATTTCATTTCATGTCATTGTCTAGAATGACCCAAATTTGTGACCAGTACAGAGAACAGCTATCTCCTACAGCAATATCACTTCCACTGGCCATCCCAGAACTAATTGACAGTTGTACCCTTTTTCCTTCTCCAAGCTCATTCCCAAACTCAGTGGACCTTCCATATGTCATACAAAGTGATTCTCAAGTCTTCGGTCACAAGGCCACTTCAAATTCATAAAGTCACTGATAACCTCAATAAATTTTTTTATTACATAGATTATACTCATGTATACTTATTATACTGAGAAACTTAAAAATAAAAATTTTAAAGTTACAAGAATACTCATGCTTGTAAAAGTCAGTGATGCTACTTATCTTCTGAAAAAAAGAAAACCACCATCTAAACATGAGAGAATTAGAAAGAAGAGGCAAATGAGGTCTTAGAAGTAGATGAGAATAGCCTTGTCCCTCTCAGGTCCCCTGAGAGGGCCCTAGGGGACCCCAAGTTTTTGTGAAATAACACTTTGAGAAACACTGACATAGAACTACCAAAAGAATGATACTCAAAATGACAACCCCATTAGAATTAGACCTTAGAAAGGCATTGAATAAAATCACATTTATAAATGTTCATCAGCTTGGAGAAGTCTGAGTCCTCAGGAGAATATTTTTTAAATGCATAAAGTACAGTAGAAATACAAAGAAAACCACTTATATCAGAAGGTATAGTTATTCACAGAACCCTTGGCAAAAGTCCTTCAGTGCCCTACTGCTTTCTCGTTTGGCAATCCTACCATCTCAACTGAGAACCTACAATCTCTACCCAAATCCCACAATCGCACAACCATCTTCACAGTCTTCACCTGTGACAGTTTAGTCTTCTGTGGTAAAGACCTGATAGTGACTTTGTCCCCTCGAATGTTCTTTCATCCGATGGCTTCCAACATAATTCCTAGCAAAATATATAACACCTAGGATAGCATGCCCCTTTTGTTCCTTAGAATTCCTAATAGATTCTCAGTCAGCACTTGTTGCGTGCTTAACTGAATAGAAGGATAAACAAGCATTTTCCTAGTTTGACACTTGGGCATCCTTCCATCAACTATAACAAGCTTTCCTTTGCAGGTCTTGGGCACTTGTAATGTTGAGCAGTCCTTTTTCAACGACTGGTTCACGGGACACCTGAATTTCCAAATCGAGCACCAGTGAGTGACAGAAACATTGATAGTAGTGGTGGTGAGCAAGGTCTGCCACAAATTATAATGACCTCCTACCCCATACAGGCTAGAGCACAGCCCTAGGCAACCAAAACTGTCTATAGAGTCTCTCTTTTTCTTAACATCAATGGTGAGGAAGGGAAGAAAGAAAAGGAGATAACTGTAAGTAAAACTCTAAGTAGCACCTTGGAAAAGTGCTGGTGACTCAGTTTCTAGATTCCTAAGAAGTGGTGATTGCTCCTATACATTTTATTTGTTAGCAAAACCCAAGGAAAAGAATGCCACTTGGGTAACCAAGCTATGTTGAAACTTAATTACAATTTAATGCAAATATCCATATCTGTTTTTATTCTATCTATAAAATAATCAGCAATGAAATTGCTGTTGCAATTTTCCAAATAGTATCTAGAAATATTTTACCAGTAGATTCAGTGGACTTGCTTAAAAAAGTAAAAGTGATAATAGCTTCAGAGTTTCCAGAATATTCAGAGAAGAGATTTTGCACATCCTCTTTGAAAAGCCTATATTCCTCATTGTCAGAGAAAGAAAGCCATCATACACCTATTACTGGGATTTTTCTCATCCTTTCTCTCATTAGTCCTTTAAAATCTCAGCACAACAAGAGATAATGATTTTTCATATTTTACCAGGGAGTAAGAAAGTCATCTGGCTCATTAGTGAAAACCTTGAATAAAAATCCATCTCTACCCTAAAATGACTATTTTGAATATCATGTGCTCTTGGTAGATGTCAACCAGGCAGGGGAGATGGATTTTTGCAGCTCTCTAGGTAATAAGAAATGATTTAAAAAAAATACTCTCATTGGACTGGTACCAAAAACCACACTGGATGGACCTCATATGTGTTCTCTTAGCTCATTCCAAACATCAGCCTCCCACAGGACTCACAGAGGGTTAAAAGACAAGAATATCTTAGCAAGAGTTTTGAACTTCAAGTAATTGCACAAGTTCAAGGTTGGGTCTGCATGGTTGATAGAATTTTACTTAAGGGAAAGAAAACTCCCTGGGATGTCTGTCCACGTCTGAGCTTGCCGTCCCCTCTCTGTTTCCCCAGTCTGTTCCCCACAATGCCGCGCCATAATTATCACCGGGTGGCACCTTTGGTGAGGTCGCTGTGTGCCAAGCACGGACTGCCATACGTGAACAAGCCCATGTTGAAGGCATTTGGAGATATCGCCAGGTAATGACAGTCACTCTGGGCTCACATTTCTCTTTTCCCATCTTTACTGATCCCAAGTGGTCATTCACTGGCTTGTGACTCACTCTCCCAGCAATAGTCTCGAAGGGGCCCCTGGGTGCCCAGCGCAGACATGGGAATCTGACGGAGGGCAGCAGTCATAATGTGATTCTTGCCATTTACGCACATCTCCTAGGTAGTTCTTAGGGAAAATGCCCCCTGTCCTATTCAATTTCTTAAATGCCAGACTGTGTATTTTCTGTCTCTCTCTCCTCCACAGAGCTGTGTTAGAGGGAGGGAGGAAAAGGCCACTCGAGTCATGTGGTCCAGGGCTGCAGATTTAGATGCCTGCAGTGTCCAGCGGAACTGAGAGGTCTGACTCAGACAGGGGAGACGGATCCCCTGGGTGCTGACCCCAAAGGGGACAGACCGAATGTGGTGAGGCAGTAGGGACTGAAAATCCTCCCTCATCGGGAAGCATTCACAGATCCCTCAAGATTACTGTGTGGTCAAATTAACAGCCAGGGATCTGGGTTTAATCACTTTCTCTTGGGAACAATCAGTCTCTCCAACGAAGCCAAAGGCCAGCCCCAGTCTGCTCTGACTCCCGATTAGTGCCCCGGTTGCTGCCTTCTCCCTCCCCTCCTCCTTTCCTGTCCCCCAAATCACTGGCCTCCCTTTTGTTGCTGCACAACTCCCTGGCCTTGGCCATTCTCACGTCCTTCACCCACTTTGCTTCAGCCTACATGTTCTCCCAGCGTCCCCCTATGGCCTGGCCCTCTCCACTCACTCCCCAAGGTGCATCTCAATGCCTACAAAACCCGGCTCCTGGTTTCCTCACTGGTGAGATTTACCGCACTTGGGAGTCAGTAACACACTGGGTCATAAGCCCTGGAACTTGTGCTCCCCGGCTGGACCACGCGGGCAGGTCACACCTCTGTCCTGGGGCTGTGCTGCGGGCCCCAGAGCCTGACATGGCGGCTGTCACAGATTTTTTTTTTTGAAGATGTATTTATTTATGTACACAAGAACTGGGGTACAGTGCAGAGGTGCCGGAGGTGAGAAGATTCACCAGAGACAGAGTGGGGAGCAGAACAGGCAGATCGACAAAGTACACTGCTGAGGGGAGCAGCCGTGAGACAGGAGAGGTCTGCTGCACCCTGTGGGTCAGCAACCTGGGCTGGGATCGTACTTGAGCTGAAGCAGCTGTCATAGCTTCATAGTGCTGAGCTTTAAGCCTCTGCACCACCAAGGAGGGCCCATCTTTCACATTTCAAATGGGGGGTCAGGGGGTGTGGATACAGGATGGGGTAATAAGTGGGTGTGTACCTCATCTTACATGAACTTTCTAGAGAAAAGGCCAAATGATGGTTTGGGGTAGAGAAGAGAATGAAAAGAAAGAAAATTCAGGGCTACCTCCCTTACCCCCCAAGACAGAGGTGAACTCCCTCCCCTGGCCCACAGGGAACCTCATTTTTCCCAATATAGCTGACATAACAACAACCCGACCTGGGCAAGGACGGACTATTCCGGTGGGTGACTTCTTTGACGGTCTCCCCTCCTGATGACTATTTTTGCCCCCCCCCCCAGGGCTTTGAAGAAATCCGCAGCCCTCTGGGCCGACATCTACTATGAAACCTAAGGCATGCGCCATCCTGGACATGTAAATGCAGCTCCGAGGAGGGTTTGTGAACCTCAGAGCTCTCCCCTGCTAGGTTCTGGGTGCCATGACTTCCCTAAGGCCACCGACGTGGGGAGAGTGGGGGGAGGGTGTGAGGGCCGGGGGGTGGTTCCCCAGACATGCTCACCCCCTTCCTGAAAGTTCCCTCTGCAAATTAGAAGCAGAAAACCACAAGATGATTTTGGCCAGGACAACAAAGCAGAATTGGGAGACCAATTCATTTTGGCAATTTCATTTTGGCAATAGGACCCTGAACATTAGCTGACTGGTCTCTGGGGCCCCAGGGTGGGAATGAGGTGATCTTGTACTGATGAAGTGGGTCTGGGCAGAACAGGCCATAGGAGAGACTTTGGGAAACAGGGCAGCCCCTCTTAGAAGATGATCCTATATTTAAGAAGAGCTGAATTAATAGAATAATAATTGTAAAAAGAGCTCAAAATAATAAAAAGTGCCTGTTGAAGCACCATGTACTGCTTATCCTTATTTAAGTGTCTCAGCGTGTTCTTTAAAAGTGGAGTGTAATGAACACTTAAGTCTCTTTTGACAGTTCAGTTTTGACTTCAGCCTTTCTTTATTGTTTCTGCATGTATAATTAACATGTCTATATCATTTGGCTTCCTACAGCCAAACCCAATAACACTAATCAAGCAGGTTAAGGTTCTATATTTAAAGGTAACTTGTGTTCTGCTAAAATGTAGTCTGTCTCTGAATACATGATGTGTTTGCCCAATCCCTAACCACCAAAACGTCCACACTTCATTATTGCGTGACTCCAATAAAGAAATATCTTTTTTTCAACCAAGTAGACTTGAGGCTGTGTAGGGGTATTTTTCAAGCTTGATATAGAATTAAATATGCCTTAAGAGGAAACCGTTGCAGTGCTAGAAAGATGAGTGGATGTTCAGCACCATACTGGGGTCTAGTGTCTACACTTCTGCTATCTACGGAGTGGATGGGCAGGGAACAGCTGACCTCAGCTGCAGAGAAGTAACAGACCACAGCACAAGCCCCAACCTCAGCTCCAAGCAAGTCCGCATTCATGTTTGACTATTGCCTGAAGTTCCACCAAAAAGCAATTAATCTGGCCCAAATCCTATACACTGCTCTTTTTGTTTGTTTCTGAATGAAATCCCCATGTCCAGGAGCAAAATCCTGTGGCCGAAGGGAATGTGATGACTTGAAAGAAGTCACTGGGGCTGAAATGGAGGGAGCAAGTGGCAGAGGAGTGCAAGGGGTAAAAGGGAGAGGGAGGGAGGGAGGGAGGAATATATAATTCCTCCTAACAAAACAGGATATTTTGCATCGAATATAAGAGAAGCACTTCTGAATTCTATCTCTGGATGACTGAGATTCTTACCAAATCTTATGAGCATCTACCAAGCAACAAGAACCGAGCTACACCCTGCATGGATATTATTCCATTTAATCCTCGCAGCAGCCCAATGGGCAAGCCCTACAATTAATCTCATTTTACAATGAGAAGTCCAAGGTTTATGGAAGTCAAGCAACGTTCCCTACCTGAAGTCGCAGGTAGGACATGGTGGAGGAGACAGAGATGTCTGGCTTGCAATCAGTGCTCATTAATTTCCATGCCAGGAAACCCAACATGAAGGGCAATTAATTGGCATTAATAGACATGGAAGTTCACAGTTGGCCTTTCTAAATTATCTCTAACAGCCTTCCAGGAGCTGATGGCATAAACATTGAGGTATTTATCTTTCCTCCATCAGGAGAACAGGCATCCAGGGAGGGGCAGCGACAGGCACAGTGGCAACTTAGACAGGGCTCCTGGCAGCTATCTTTCTACTCACCTGTCCTAGAAGGGACTCCAGCTCACAAAAATTTCACTTGGGAGGAGCCAAGCTGAGATTTAACTTTTCAGAATGGGAAGACTTTTCATTCCACATAGAAATACAGGATGGAGAAATGGATTCAAGATTTGGTGGTGACATCATATGAATTCAGCCCAGAAAAAAATTCATTCTCCCATTGCCTGAGCACCCCTGATGCTCTATTTCTTCTAAAACTTCACTCCTTGGTGCCTCAAAAGTAGGCACTGAGAAATTGCCTGCATTTTCAGTTGGGCATTAAGTCAAGGTGACTGGATTAGAACTCAGAAATCCATATTCTGGTGCCAGCTCTTTAACTGAATATCCTACAGTGAACTTAGCCAAGTCAATGATACACTTTATACCTCAATCTGAAAAGCAGGTGTGGTGCAAACTATTATGTCCTGACCTCTATGGATCATCGCAAGGTGGGGACAACCAAATGAAATAAGGCAAATAGCATCGTTTCATAAGCCAGGAACACCCACTGAATTACCGGTCATGGTTATTATAGCAATGAGGGTTCCTCCCAGCCCAGACCCACTAAAAAGCAAGAGAGACTTTGTGTCACACAGACCCACAGGATGGAAACACTGAATCATATTTACAATGACAAGGGCACCTTCCCCAGATGAGACACTTATGAGTCATAAAAGAGAAAATAAGTTTACTTGTTGCAACAAGTTACGCCCAGGAGTCAACTTCCAGTTCTTCCTATCTCCAGTCCTCTGGGACAGCACCCAGATCTCAGGCAGGGCTAGGGAGTGGCAGAGAGTTAAGGGTTCCAGTGGTCCAACCTTCTGGTTAACGATGGTAGTGCACAAGATCATTATTAGCAATTATAGCGAATGCAAGTGTACTCTTTGTTTTTATCGTCAATAAATAAAGACTTTTTGGACTAATTCCCACAGATACCTATCCTAAAGATGCAGAAAATATAGGTGGAACATCAGCTTTACTAAGAGCAGTAATAGACTCATATATTTTTGTTGTCCAAGCATCTTTGATGAAAGTTCACAAATAGTAATGTTGAAAAAAAGTTACAATGAACATCAGTCAAAAATTTGAAAGTTGTTACCATTTAATGGATAGTTAGTTTAACTAGTAAGGGACCGGGGTTGAGGGGGAAGCAATTGTAATAAAGAAAAATGAAAAACAATGAATAACTATATACCAGAGACATCCTACAGGGGTGGAGTAGGGAATGGGATCAAAAATGGTGGGTTGGGGGGAAGTATACAGGACTATGGTGATGGCACAGAGTGATTTGGTGGTGGGAAAGCCCACGGAGTTTACAATCGAGATGGAAAAGGCACAAAATGAAGAATGATGCAAAAATAAATTTTATAGATGGATGGATGGATGAATGGGTGGGTAGATGGATGGATGGATGAATGGATGAATGAATGAATGGATGAATAGAGAAATGTCAGCTAAAGATGGTAAGCTAAATCAGATTCCTACTGAAAAAAAAATCTAAAATGTTAGACTGGAAAGTATACACTTGGTTAGGAGATTCTGCAGCTCTTTGGGGAAACTTGGAGCTGGAGAGCAGTGTCATTGGAACTGGGCTCTAGGAAAACCTTCTTGAAACCATACAAAGGGAAAGATTAGAGTGAATGAATAGAGGTGGAGGACCAACAAGGTGACTATTGCAACAACCTGGGGAGAAAGCTAGCAAGAACCTGAGTTCAGCTGGGGAAGCAAATATGAAACACAAAGGAGTAAGTGGAGACTCCCTGTGCAAGCTGGATCCAGGAAACAGGGTGAGACACTAATAATGGGAAACACTAAAGACAATACAAAATCAGGACCTCAATGCCAATGACAAGTAGAAACAAAATAGAGGTTGCTTTAAGAAGTCCTAAGTTGATGGTAATGAAAGAAAACCTAAGTGGAGATGCCTAGCAGGAAATGTCCTTCAGGGCCTTGGGAGAGACATGAGAACAAAACATTTGGGTTTGGACATACTTCCTAGAGATATCACCAAAACAAGAATAGAGGAGAAAGTGTGATTTGACGGCCTCTTAAAGATGCTTCTAGAGGAAGGATGAGAAAAAAATGGGTCAACTGAGGTAAAGAAGATGAGCGGAATCCTCAAAGGCAACATAAGAGAAAGCATGAGGCAGAAGAGGCAAAAGTTGAATGATGGAATGATCAGACTTCTTTCACCTTTTGTGATAAAATTACGTGGCCATGCAGAAATCATATACCACCAATGTTTTTGGCCACCATGAATCTTAACTTTCCTCATTCAGGGAACCACTGGGCTTAAATATTCAGGGGAATATTATTAGCTTAAGAAAATCAGAGTTGGGGGGCAAAGCATAGTATCAACTAACACAAGGACAGTGACCAAAATAAAGCATCACTTTCTTTCTGTAGCAGAATGGAGTGTTAATAAGCAGGTAACTGTCTTGGTGGTAAGGATCCATGCATCTTCTTATGCTCTCTGCATAACACCCCTCAGGCTGTCAGAAAGGAAGGGATTTGAAGAGCAGCTACTCAGCTCTCTCAAAGTTGTTGGACTCGTGTCTGCAGGAGGCTGGCAAGGACTCAGCTCACCTCAACCTGAGAACTGCAGCCCGCTCCCCTCAGGTTATGCATGCAGCTCAGGCCTGATGGAACAGACTCTGGTTGTTTGGTTTTGTTTGACTTGCAGCAAGCTACCTCCACCACCACCTGCCCCAGGCTGCTGAGGGTGCACCCCACATTTGTTTTCTCTGGCTCTGAGGAGTTCCAGAAAGGGGCTGATGGAATCCAGTCTTAGTCCCCTTGGACCCTGCTAAATCCCTTTAGCAGCTGTTCACCATTTTTAACTTTAACAAAGTCCCTTACCAAAAAAAAGAAAGCCTTTGCAATCCATTTTATGTCCCAGTTATACTGAGGGTTGGTTTGGGGGGAGGGGTTGGATAGGGGTTGGAGTAATGCCTCATTTGATTCATCTGCATTTTAGCCTCCTCCTGTTTCACTTCTCCATCACAGTTAAATGGCACATTGTTCACGCAGCTGATCAGAACAAGACTCGAGGCATCAAACTTCATTTCTCTTTATTTCACTTTCTAAATCCGAACCAAAAGCAATTCCTTCGAACTCTGCCTTCTCAAATAGTGCAATTTAGTGAGTTGTCTCAATTTCCCTTGTACAACCTAATTCCAGTCACTATTATCTCTCAATGGGGCGGCTGCCTGCACCTCATAATAGTCTCCTGACTTCCATTCTTGCTCTTATCATCGGTTCTCCAATCAGCACCAAAATCATCTGTCTAGTGCAATGATCCAGCTCGTTTCATTCCCCCTCTTGCCCTTAATAACCCCCATTACACTTAGCATAAGATCCAAATTCCTCACCAAGACCCCAATGGCCCTACAAAATCAGGCCTTGCCTTCTTATTACTCCATGTAAATCTGTTCCTTTCAGTCTCTTGTTCTGGGAACACACAAACAAGGTCATCTCACTCCAGTTTCCACTTAACTATCATCTTACTCAGTGAGCCTGTTTATCCCACACACCCTTCCCTGACTAAAGTGCTGCCTACCTTGAGGCACTAGAACACCACAGCATTTTATTCTCCTCACCCCCCTGACCCTATCAGAATAATCAAGCTTATTCGTGAGTTTCCTTGTTTATAGTCTGTTCTCCACATGCACTGGAAGGCAAATTCTTTGAGTGTCACCAAGATTCTTCTGCTCACTATGTGCCTCCAGAATTTAGACTAGTGCTTAGCACATAGTAGGTGCTAGGATTATCTACTGTACTGACAGAACACTTAACACAGCATTATTCAACTTAAGGTTTTCCTCAAGACTGATGATTTCTCCACTTTGGTTCTTTTCACACATTGAGGTGGGCTCAACCTGATGGATGGGCTCTTCAATTCTAGATCCCTAATCTGTATTCCTGCCCATGTACTGTCCTGTGCCATGGCTGGTCACTTCATGTCTCTGAGCCTTGGTTCTTCTATCTGCAAAATGCTGACAATAAGATGACTTATACTTTAGGGTTGTGAGTGGGTTAAAGAAAATAACACATATAAACTGAGTGCCTCAAAATGGCAAATCCGTAATACACATCATTACTGTTGGTGGTATGACTCTTGTATTCGCAGTAGTCATCAGCACAAGGTGGAAGGGGTATATTTCTCTATCAGAGACCAGGTGTCCTTCATTCACCATCATTTACTTTATGATGATGATGATGATGATGACGATGACGACGATGATGATGATGATGATGATGATTGTTATTGATGTACTGATTCCATGAAGCTCTGAATACATGCTCTTTCCGGACAACATACTGGACATCACCTACACAAAAACAAACAAGAATGCTTGCCTGCAAGGAGCTCTCCATCCAATGCACATTCTTTGTCTTCTGTACCTATGTGCAAATCATTAATGCGATAACAATCTTTCATTGTTCAGCCAGGGTGTCTATTGTTTAGGGGTGTGGAATTTCAACTCTTCAGGGTGACAAGGCTCAGAAGTACACTAAAAATGGCTCTCTGGAAGGATGGTCCAGAACTATGGGTAATGAAGGTGAACTTTCTTCTTCCAAGGATTACCATGTGGTTAATAAAGGGAGGCAGGGAGCTGACCATGCTATAAAGACATGCAGATGTCTTCACTTATGTTGGGTACAGAGCAGCACTGGAAGATCCCAACTGGTAAGACCCCAGAGAGCCCTTCAGGTATGTGACAGTGGGACAGTTGCACTAGTGAAAAAGCAAAGAAGGGTTCTCAGATAGAAAACCTCCTAGCCATGATAATCTTGCTCATCCCTTAAACAGAAAGCCCTTCATAGTCAAAAAGTGACTGTATGTCCATTCCCTCCTTGTCTTCCACCACTAGTGACGAAGCCCAGGTCTGGAGTGTTAACTGTACTTCACAGATGGAAAAAACTTCAGTGGAGAGTTAAGTGGAAGATCCAGAAAGCAAATTTTCATAATCTAAGAGCAGTCTCAGAGAGAACAAATGGTCCCTGAGCCCATGCAGTAAACAAGATGTCCCTAAAGAACAGAAACTAAAAAAAAAAAAAAAATTAATGGTCTCAACTGAGAAGCTTGGTACCAGTCAATTCAGCCCTTAAGAGTCTGAGATGCTCATGGGAATAATTCCCAGTTCACCTCCTTCAAAAACAACCTCCCACACATTTGTAGTAAAAGCAAAAATATCCCCGTGCAGGAAATGTAGAGAGATTTAAACACAAATATAAGCATTTTTAAAATAACTTTCATTTTTCTTAACAGACACACATGGCTATAATATTTGAAAGGGAAAGCCAAGTCAGTGAAATATACCAGGAATTTTGACTCTGATTTTTTGCCAAGGCCAGAAAATCAAAAGTGAAAACAGAATAGCCTGATCTGCAGATGGGGTGAGTTGGGAGTTTTTTTTGAAACTTCATTAGTTATAACAAAGTTTTAGATATTGTTCATGCTTAGCAAGAGCTTTGTGACCAAAATAATTCATTTCACTGCCACCCCTAACACTTTGAGAAAAAGAAAATTCAAAGCCAGACTCAACACTTGCTCATTTAAAAACATCTCTGAGTAGAACTATGAGCACCAGGGACCAGCGGGTGGAGGAAATGAGAAAATGTTGGGCAAGGAGTATACAAATTTCCAACTATGGGAGGTAATCATCACCAACCTAACTACAACGGGTGACAACAGTTACCAAAGGGCGCTGTATACTGTAACGCTGCTGTTGTAAGAGTAGATTTAAACTTTGTGACTCTGAAATAACAGCAATGAAATAGTCATGTGAAGAATATGTTAACTAACCTTACAGTGGGAAACATTTCTACATAGATAAGTGTTAATTATTATATTAACACCTTAACTTACACAATGCTCTTATCAGTTCTATCTCAATAATGCTGGTGCTGGAATATCTCTGAAAGCGATACAGGAAATGCCCCTTGTGACTTTAAAAATGCTGGTAATTAGCATAACTCTCTTTAGTTATACATAACATGAGACCCTCTTTTCTCTTGCCCTTAGTTTATGGGGTGATATCACCATGCTTTTCATCAGATTGCCTCCTCTGCTTGAAGTTGCCTCCTTTGGCTCCACAAAACTCCATCTTATGCAATCTCAAATACATTTCTAGAACCAATTTTAAAGCCACTTATTTCAGGGAGATTTCTAGATCATTCCCTAAATTAAATTCAAATAGCATGTGATTCAGATGTCCTCTTGGACTCTATCAACTCGGGCTTTCATCACAGAAAATCAGCATTAAAAAAGGAATTTACAGGCCCTCCCTGGTGGCGCAGCAGGTTATAGCACAGCACTAAGAAGCCAAAGCCACTTCCGCATGAGTTCGATTCCCGCTTGCCCCGGAGGTGACCACATGGCGCGGCAGACCTCTCCTGACCCGCCCGCTGCTCCTCTAAGCAGTGTACTTCGTCGATCTGCCTGTTCTGCTCCCCACTCTGTCTCTGGTGAAGCCTCTCGCCACCCCTGCGCCTCTGGCCTATACCCCAGTTCTGTATGCACAAATAAATAAATCTTTAAAAAAAAAAAAAGGAATTTACAGGCTGTGGCTGTAAGTCATTCACCATTTCAGGCTCTCTGTATTTAACAACTGAGATACCTCAATTTCCCTTTTGACTGACTTGGTGTTTCCTAACCTCTTGAATGACAATAGCACAGGAGGAGTTCCCCTTTATTCAGTTATAGTGTCCATGACTTCAGTTACCTGCAATCAGTCACAGATCAAAAGTATTAGCTAATAAGATATACTGAAAGGGTGTGAGAGAGAAACAACATTTACATCATTTTATTATAGCTTATTGTTATAATTGGGGTATTTTTTTGGTTGGTTATTCATCTCTTTATGGGTTTGTCATAAATATCTGATTCCAAAAAAGTAATGTGATATTTATATATCTTTTTCCTTTCAGAAATCACACATTCCCCAACTTTTTTCAGCCGTCCTTTTGAACTTTTCTAGACTTTGGGTCACCATGACTCAAGGAAATGGCTCTGAAGTGACTGAATTCTTTCTTCTGGGATTTGACACTCAACACAAGCATCGCCATGTCCTCTTCATGGCGTTCCTGCTCATCTATGTGATCTCCATGGTGGGGAATGTGGGCATGATTCTACTCATCAAGATAGACGCCAGACTGAAGACACCTATGTACTTTTTCCTACAACATCTGGCTTTTGTGGACCTCTGTTATACCTCTGCTATCACCCCAAAGATGCTGCAAAACTTCATAGTAGAGAACAAATCCATCTCATTCAGGGGCTGCGCCATACAACTACTGGTGTACGCAGCATTTGCAACTACTGACTGTTACCTTCTGGCCGCTATGGCCATCGACCGGTACGTGGCCATCTGCAACCCACTTCGCTACCCCATAATCATGTCCCGAAGAGTCTGCATCCAGTTAGTAGCTGGCTCCTATGTCGTGGGCTCAATCAATTCCTCTGTGCACACAGGCTTTACCTTCTCACTGTCTTTCTGCAAGTCTAATGCCATCAATCACTTTTTCTGTGATGGTCCCCCAATTCTTGCCCTTTCATGCTCCAACATTGACGTCAATGTCATGCTAATTGTTGTCTTTGTGGGATTTAATTTGATGTTTACTGTTTCCGTTGTCATCTTTTCCTACATCTTTATCCTGGCTGCCATCTTGAGAATGTCTTCTACTGCAGGGAGGAGAAAAGCTTTCTCCACGTGCGCCTCCCACCTCACAGCAGTCACCATCTTCTATGGGACGCTCTCCTATATGTACTTACAACCTACCTCTAATAATTCTGAGGAAAACATGAAAGCAGCCTCCGTATGTTATGGTATTGTGATTCCCATGTTGAACCCCCTGATCTATAGTCTGAGAAACAAGGAGGTAAAAGAATCTCTCAAATTGATAGGGAAAAAATCCTCTAGGCAAAACCCCAACTATTAAAATTCAGCACATTAACTCATTCAGTAGAGATATTTTACCACTGTAATGTTTCTGAAATAGGAAATATGCTCATTTCTTAAACCAATACTTCCTCCTTCTATAGATAAAGTCTTAGAATGATGAATATAATCACATATCATGGCACTAATATGCCCTGGAATATAACTTAAGAAACATATCTCATTCTGCCCATGAAGATCGGTTTTATAATATTACTTAAAATGTTAAGAATTATATGTAGACCTTGCAAAGCACTTAATTGTGTTAAATGGATTTTAAATACGCCTTAAAACTAGAAAACCTCCATTTGTATTTAATCCGTATCAAAATTAAATTTCCATAATTTCCATTAAACAAGTTTCCTAAATTGTCTACAAAGAGAATGCTCATATATTCTCTCCTGATTCACCATAAACCTGAGTGTAAAATAAATTGTTTTGAAAAGTACTTCATGACTCAGATTATTCTTTCCACCTAATACCCTCATATGAATAGATTCTCTCACATTTGAAAACTCTTATCTCTATATTATGATTTATATTTGTCATTACCTAGTCTCTCCAGTCTGAGTCCATCTCTTTTTTGTATAAGATAAGGAAATTTTGGAAACATTTTCCAAATGTCTCTCCAGTAGAGAGAGAAAATCTAGACTGGAAGTGGATCTAAAAGCCTAAATGGTGCTCATTCTTTTACAAAAGTCCTAACCATCATTTTAGTCCAGACTAATAACTTCAGTGGGTAGAAACTCAAGGGCAGATAAAGTAGCTGGTTTACACCCTGGGAACTAGAACTCAATCCCACATGGAAATTTGATGAACTGTGTAGAATGCTCCACTGATAACTCCCTCTAGAGGTCAAGCGCTTACAACACACTTTAGTTCCCCTTTTCCACCGTATTTAATGACCCAAGATCTTCCATGTCTTTTGAGGTATCTCTGAGAAGCCGAGAGAGACCATAAAACACCTAGAAGCAGAGGCTGTGCTCTCTGCAAAACGGACTGGAGCCCAGTAGCTGAGGATGAGACGCGAGACTCCGAGATTCCTGCTACTCCGGGTCACACAGCCCGCACCTGTGGAATTCGTAAGAAGCCGCAAGCTTTGAGACGACATGCGGCTGTCACCCTTGCCTCCTGGCCCCTTTCCCTGCTTTGAATGGGAAGGGCTGTCTGGCACCACAGGACACACGTGAGACGAGGAGGTAACCAGGGGAAGACTAAGCAAAGCAGGGAAGTGCTAGTCGCCTTCCGAATGATTGCTGGGAGGAAAAATAAGTAACTACTTTTATTTAAGTCAACGTTAAGTTGAAATCCTTCTATTAGGTGTCAAGCAACATCCCTAACTAAGAGATAGAATGTGGAGTCATGCTGGCCATCAATTCACCTGTCTTCTTTGCACAGCAACTCTGTTTCATCTGGATATGTGTTAGTCAAAGAGCCACAAACATACTATCTCTGGTTTTATTCTGTCACGCTGATTGAATTCATGACTTCACCCAGTCAGTTTACAGCCATACACTACACAAAATTTCTGGAATATTCTAGTAGTAAAAGTGTAATGGGAGATAGGGTGTCTCTATCTAAGGTTTATTTTTTTTTTTTAGTATATACATTTCAGAGTGAGATAGAAATAAAGGATCTAGAGTAAATTTTTTCTTCCAATAGCAAATTGGACAAAAGTCAATAGCAATTTCATTTCTCACATTAGGGACTCTATGCCCTTAAATTGAGAATTGAGATTATCTTTTTCTTTCTTTCTTTCTTTCTTTTTTTGGATAGTCATGTTTTTTGCTCATTACCGTGACAAGTCAATTATCTGGACCAGCACAGTAGTTCTTAGAACTATGAAAAGACACTCAGCCTTATTCCTAACAAGAAAAAAATAAGTATTTATTTGTGCTATACCAAGACAACTCGGAAAAAATTTCCTAATGACAGTAATATGAAGAACAAATTTATCCTCTCAGGAAAGGTAAATGTTCTACAGAAAATAATTACTGAACATTTTTTTTCATATGTTCATCTCAGCCCTGGGAGCCTGATATTGTCAAGGGAGGAAACATTGATCCCTAAGGTCCCAGGTATAAACCCCCCAGTTACAAGCAAGTGTAACAGCATGATGGGCAATCAGCCTGCATCAATGACAGAAAGAATCCAGAGGAACTCTGGTGTAAGTAAACAGAGCAGATGCCATTTCCCAAGGAATAGCCACGTGCCACCCAGGTATGTGGGGGGAACAGGTAGAGCAAAGGGGTCAACATCAAGAGTCTAGTAAGTTCCACCGCAGACCCAGAGCTTTGCTGGTGAAGGAATGAAAAGGGGCTGGTAGAGAGGGAATGGACCCCAGGGCAAGTGAATGAATGGAGGGAATGGATATATAATTTTATGTGCTAGCCTGGCCATTCCTTTTTTTGGAGTGGCTATTTAATGCCTGGCCCCATCTGGCCAGACGTATAAATCACTTCACTTTCACTTTACATCTTTACAAAGCAGGTTTCTTTCTCCTTTTTTTCTTTTTTAGAACAATGAAAGCTCTTTTAAAAAGAAACAGATGGAGGTTATTGTGTTTAATGACTTCTCTTTCTCAACTCCCATGGCCAACTGTCCCCATAAAATAGTGGTGTGGATCCTTTCTGAGCTCTCCATGCATAAATAAAGACAGTGAGAAAAACACAGGAGAAGTGAAAGTTTTACTTGTAAAAGGGTTCTCTGCATATCATTGCAACTTAAAATAAGACATGAGCATCTTCCCATAAGACTATTGATCCTGTTTGTTAGTCTATATGATCCTTAATAGGAAGCTACTCATATTTACTGAACCCTATTTCAAATGTTTTGCTACTGTAAACTGTTTAAATAAACATCATTACCTTTCACACAATTCTGTGATCCCCTTTTTGGACAATGGAAATGAGGCAGGAAGGAACACACTGTTTATTTTTATGAATTCATGGGAATAGAATTTAAACTGGGTTGCCTGTGTGCCTGTCCCTGCACATCAATGAATAAAAATGAAATTCAGAAGCACTAAGGTTCAATTCAGGCCAAGCATGTGCAAAACATGGAGTATTTGGAGAGAGAGAGAATGTGTGTGTATGTGTGTGTGTGTGTGTGTTCCCTGCACTGATTTTTTTTATAACAGTTAATTTTTACATCATTTTGTACATTTTTTTTTTCATCTCAATTGTAATCCCCGCGGTTTCCCTGCACTGATTTTTTTATAGCTCTCTACAAACATACCTGTAATGCCTACCTGTTATTTAATTTGAAATGATTCAAGAGATATGGTAAACGCCACTGTCCTACCCAGAGTCTAATCTAAATGGCCCGCTGACCATTTCAAGCTTCCTCTGACCAAAGTGCTTTTATCCATTCAGCAGGTACTTCAGCAGGTACCTCTTGACGAGACTGCATTTCCTTTGTCTTACAGCCTGATACCCGAAGTCACTGCATGAAACAGGTCCTCACATTTCAGAAAGGGTAAAGAGCACAATTCAAATTATGTTGTGTCTGAATCCATCTGTGATTTGGCATCTGTTAGGGACAGGATCACGCCTACCCAGTAATGCAGTCCTTGAAATATAATGTGCAGTTTTGCTTAGAGGCTCGAGATGATGATACAAAAAAACTAGAAGTCATGTTTCCTACAGATTTGTAGACAGATTTCATTTCTTTTGGTTTTCCAGACCTGAGGTATGGTTTATTCATCCAAGATTTTGTCATTAGAATACAATTTTGTCTAACTTTTACATTCTATGGAATCAACAGTAAACAAGACAAAGTAATTACACATTATGCATTTTGTGGGAAACAGTGCAACTATTCTATTGGGAGAGCTAGATGATTAAAAATAAATGAATAAATTTAGATATGAAAATTATTTCCCTTAAGGTTTAGATAATAAGTTAAAATTTCTTAATTTTAAGAATTTGTGTAAATGTGAAAATTAAGTTGATGAGAAGATTCTACATTTCTTGTCTTTCTTTTCACTGTAGCAAGCTGTAACTTGCTACCAAGATCACATCAACAGGCTTTTCATTTAATTGTTTCCCCACAAAATTTTTCTCTATATATTTTACATTGGTGCCATTTTAATACATGCAGATAGCACACTGAATTATGTACTTTGCTTTTTATTCCTGGGTCTTGCATTAGAAAGATCTATGCACACAGAAGTTGTAGCTCCAGTTTACTGAAATTTTACTGATTCACCTAATAAAATATTTGATTTTGATAAATATAATATGTATAAATAAATATTGATTGGACACAACAACATAAATCAAACTATATCAGTGGTATAAAATATGTTGGAAAAATACTCTCCTAAGAGGGCCCTCCCTGGTGGTACAATGGGTTAAAGCATAGCATAATGAAGCTATCCAAAGCCATTGCAGCATGAATTTGATCCTCAGCCAGGGAGGTGACCCACATGGTGTGGCAAACCTCTCCTGACCCGCCCGTTGCTCCCCTCAGCAGTGTACTTCAGTCATTCTGCCTGTTCTACTCCCCACTATGTCTCTGGTGAATCCTCTCACCCCCCCATCTCTGGCCTGTACCCCAGTTCTTGTATGCACAAATAAATAAATCTTCAAAAAAAAAATCTTCCTAGGAAATTAGCTAGGGAAAGGAATGGACTTTACTCAATTATTTTTCAAAAACACAAACCATGAGGCAAAAATGATGAATAATTAATTCAGATTTAAGAAGTGCATCATAATGGTCATCATTGGCCAAGTTAACAAGTGATAGAATGTGAGACTATGTCTATCATATCAACAACTAGCAAGAGATTCAAACTGGGGTAAATAAAGAACATCTAAAAATCAATACAATAGGAATACTGACTGAATATAAAAACAAGCCATTATCAAAAAAACAGTAACAAAATTCTAGGAAAAATATAAACATTAATTAAATTCACTGGCAATGAAAGAGAAAAAAATTAACAAAAATTAGATATCACTTTACATTTATTTCCTGGCTAAAAGACATGGGGAACAT